TTTCTGCAGATTTACATGCTTGTCTTAGTTTATCTATCTTTACTGTTGTACACTCTAGAGTATTTCTACTGGGTTGTACTTCGACAGATAACTGCTTCTTTTGGGTTGCTATTCCAACAGACATGTTTTGTTATCATTTTCAGTAACAAATTTATTTGGAAGAATTAAACTACTTAAAAGCAATGATTTAACAAACAAAAAAAAAAATAAAAAAAAAAAATCTTGAAGCAGGACGATTTATTTTGCATTTAAGTAGCACATGATACAGAATTTCAGTGTACCAGTCCTCCACAGTCCCTTCTGCACATGTTAGAGCATATCCTCTAGAAAAATGTCATCCTGATTCAAAGACTTTTACAAAGAAAAATCTGCACATCCATGAATGGGATCTTTTTGCTGGTTAGAGTTACTTTGACTGTTTGAATCAAAAACTGCAATAGTGAATCAAACATAAGGTGCTCTAATTCTGCAGCCAGCTAGAAAGAAAGCTTGAAAATAATGCATACTCTGCTATTTTGTTACTTGTTTTCTTCCTAGATTTACAGAATACCCTGAGTTGGAAGAGACTCCCTTCTAACTACCAAGATGCTAGGATGAATTTATGTTGAGTTCATGAAAAACGATTTTGAACATTTTCATGCTCATGAAACACAAAGTTTCCACTTGTATTTATCTGCTTAATGCATATTTGGAGTTCCTAAATGTATAGAATGGTTTGGGTAGGATGGGGCCTTAAAGACTATTTAGCCCCAATCCCCCAGTAATGGGCTGGTTGCCACCCATCTGATCAGATTGCTTGGGACCCCATCCAACCTGGCCTTGAACACTTCCAGAGATTGGGTGAAAAACTGAGGTAGCATGGTGGAGAAGAAAGAGCAGGGATGCTCTTTTATATATAATAGCAGGAGCTGTTACATCATGTTTTACAGTTAAATTCAACATCATGATTTAGAGATCTCTCTGAATTAAGCTCCTTTTGACTCTCAGCACCTAAATGAAAACTTTTGTGCTCTTCCTCAACCCCATACATTTGTAGGTCAAGCGACAACTATTAGAAAGAATACTCACAGAAGTGGAAAATCAGACAAAATTAGGAGAGATTATGCAGATTTATATTTATTTCATTCTTGTCCAGAGAGCTTCTTCCTAAGGGTCTGTTTTGGTTGTGATCTCTGTTACATTCTGTTGGCAATCCTGTATTGACCGCTCTTGAAAGCTGATGATAAAACCAGAAAACCTCTAAGATGAACTTGTGATCAAAGCTTTGAAACACAGAACTACACATCAAGACTAGTCACATTTTCTTATGCGACAGGTCAAAGGGTCAAAGTCTTTCGGAAGAACACTATTCTTTATGATGCTTCTTCATCCTCTAGTTATTTGTCATATTTGACAAATATTTGAGCATAACCTGAACATGTGTTATGTTTAACCAGTCTAACACAACAAAAGACAGTGTCTCTAAGTAGCACGTATGCGTCTCCACCTCCACTTATCTTCTGTGTAGGGAAGGAATCTAGCAACTCATGGGAAGGCAATTAAGCTGAACACCACTTGACTGAAATTTCATCACATGCTTTAACTAGTTGTTCCATCTCCATACCCTGGAGCAGACTAAGCACATCAGCATAACTCTTAGTAACTTGCTTCTTTCTACCTCTCACGCATACTCTGAGACATGAATACTTAAAAATGTTTGATTTATATGTTAGCACCAAAATCATGCTACAGTCTTTTCTGCTGCTGTTAAAGGTTAGAATCCAGAATGTGTGATGTCTGGAAATGTCTAGTGGCTGCCAGCAGCTGGATTCCTGCACAGGAGCTCAATAACCCTGGTAAAGAAAAATTGGTATCGTCTTGCCTCATCTAAAGACAACCCCTTCAGGATCCCGTTGAATTTTGTACTTCTGATTTGGCAAAACCTTTAGACAGTCCCTCTGTCTTGTTTTTCTGAACAGCTGCCAATAAACAGGGTACTTCATTGTCTACAGTTAATTCTTAAAGTAAATGACTAGGTAATATGCTTGTCGTAGGAATCAGACCATTCAGAAACAGTTACTTCACATCCCAAAATCATTTGCATCTTGATTCTCTTTTGAGCAATTTAAACCATCACCCCCCTTCATATTCCTAACTTAAGTCAATGAGAGAATATTGAAAATGTTCTAACATGTCAAAGTTATATAATAAAGTAAAAAAACCCAACAACCCAAATTAAGCCTTAATCTTGAGCTGCCAGAAGTTTCATTACTTGTCAGTGTTTCTATACCTTACTGCTGTCAATCTATTTTATTCCTCTAATCAGTCTAATAAATCTGAAATCTCCCTGGATGAGGTATTTTAGCCAAATGGCTTGAGAAGAATTAAACCCACACATTTCGAGTGACTCCATAAAGAGTAACCAATAATTTAACTCCCTAGTAAGTATTAAGGAAAGAATATGTTGTACATACTAAGGCAAAATTCAAAAATACACCTGATGATAAAAGCTTACAATTGTATTTCTTTATGAGTCATGCAGTTCAGTTTTTAGCAGGCTTTCATCCAACTGCAGAATACCCAAATGCAGAATATCGAGGTGTCACCATGAACAGATACCAGTGTAGCCCTTTGTGCAGTAGTGACACAGATCATGATCTATTCATACATATGTACACCTTTTGCTGTATACAAGTTTTCCTGGAGACCCATGGCTTTTTTCTAAGTATTGTGAATATATTTCAAATTCAAATGAATCCACATCATATAAAATAGTGGACCTAAAAGAGGGATGCAAGAGCCTGGATGTCCTCTGTATTGACAGGAATGCTTGCTTATATTCTAGGAATGTCTTTTCATGAGCTGCTGTTGCCTTGGAAACCAACACAAAATATGAAAATTTAGTCTCTATAGGGCAAAAACCCACCACACTTTTTTGTATATCTCATAAGTTTCCTTATCTTTTCCTATCAAATCTGAAAAACAAAGATTGGCAGTTGGGTATTACTAACTCTTAATTCATACTCCCGATTCAGAAATTATACTTCATTTAAAGTTTTTCTATAAATGATAAACAGAGTTAGGAAATAAGATTTACATTCATTGTCTCAATAGGTTGGCCAACCTAATAGGTTAGCCAAACCAAAACAACAAAAAGAAGTCAAAAGCTGTTTCCTGATTTTTAGGGGAAACATGCTGTCCTTATACTGTGTTACTTTGGAGCACCTGACAGGTTTTCCATCACTCTTTCCTGAACAGTCTCCTAACAAGCATGAGCACAGAGTGCTGCAGTATTCTAAGAAGTTTCCTTTCTTGCCTTCCCCTACCACAGTTACTGCTTTTTCCAGACTGATTCTAGATTTTTGCCCTGCATGTGGGAAAATGCTCCAATAGAAACAACACAGCATCTACTCAAAATCAATATAGAAAGAGGAAGAAAATGTACATGACAACAGCAAGATAAAGCAAAAGATGTCAGTCATCTCTATCTCAAGGCTGTGCCTGGTGAGATGTTGAAAATCCTCTAGGTAAGAGGGCCACTTAGCTTAGTTTTGTGAGAAGGAAACCCATTTTGCCATAGAGCATGACAGCTTTATAAAATCTCATTTGTCTTTTACTTCAGTGAATTTATCAGAACATATTTATTTTAGAGTTAAAGAGACTCTGCAATACCATTACTACAGCAATATTGAATGCAACAAATAAAACAGTACTTACTACAACTGCAGTTAAATTAGATGAGTTACTCATTTTGGCCTAAATCACTTTTCAAAATGGAAGTACTTACGGAGAAATTACTTAATGCTAGTTTACCATCTCTATTAGCATTCTGTCACTTTGTCCTATCACAGAAACCTATGTAGGTCTCTCTGAAAGTAATACCTCCTACTTATTTCCATGGATGCTACAGCAGATAAGAAGACACTGTTTGATAGAACAAATTCTCAGCTACAAAACACTCTTTTTCAACACAGTCACCATCATGAGCTATGCATTTTCCTCTATGATGAACAAGGGCTTGTATGTTGTGTTTATCAAAATCTGTACCAGCGGAGGTGACTCACTGTCTCTCTTGCCATTGCTGAAATGCACCACCTACTGCTTCCCTGTGCTCACATTCACTGTTTGGTCTCCATAAATGCTCAGTAAGTGTAGATGAATCAGTGAGTGCCATTTTTTCTGCATGGAGAAATTCAGTGACACATCTTTGCTTCTGTCAGACTGTCCCTCTGCTGCCCTCTGTTGCATGGCAACAGAATCTAACAGAGTTTTAGTGCGAAGGTTCAACCTTTACTGCCATACCACCAATATCTGCCTCTGACATTGCAGGTTAGCATCATACAATAGGAGGCATTACTTTTGGAGCAGCCTTGTGTAAGTTCAGTGACTTGGCTCTGAAATAATTTTAGTTTCACGGATAGGAATTAAAGTTACTTGAAATCAGTTTATTAAGATTCTTGATGTTGTGGTGATCACAAGAGGAATGTTGTTGAATATTTTGCAGAGATGAAGAAGTGCTGCATCTGAGCTTGAAATTTTACTGGCATCACTGTGATCCGTTCCCTATCTGCTTCATACTGTAGTTGAAGTTTAATTTTTCTTTAAGTCAAATCTGAACAAGCTTCTCCAGATTTTACTTCACTGAAGAAAAAAATCCAACCAACCAACAAACCAGCCAACTAACCAACAAACCCACAAATATTCACTGTTACAAAAACACATTTCCTTGTACCGCATGATGAATTTTAAGTATTAATGATGAGACTTAAACCTTGACAAAACGGTCCTACATGCTCCAATAGAAGGTAAGCTAAATTATATCAAAACTAAATTTAAGATGCAAGACTTCCATGAGATAAAGCAGTGAGAGGTTTTCCTCCCCTCCTGTATGTGCATATCTTTATAACTGAAGACAAATGAACGAAGTCAGCCAATTCAATCCATTATTCCTATGGCTTAGATAAATCTGAAACAAAAGGGGCAGAGCGACAGACCGTTCAAAATAGATAAGACAAACTCACACTTGTTGTATAAGCAGCTTCAGGATCATCCTCCAACACTCGTGACAAACCGAAGTCGGAGACTTTGCACATGAGGTTGCCGTTGACCAAAATGTTACGGGCTGCCAGATCACGGTGTACGTAGCCCATGTCTGAGAGGTACTTCATGCCAGATGCAATTCCCCGCAGCATGCCCACCAGCTGGATGACTGTGAAGTGGCCATCGTGTTTCTGCAAGTAAAGATGCAAGTTCAAGGTACACATCTAATTTTCTTGAACTTTGTACTAGTGACATTAGATAGAGATTGTATTGAAGATGTATTTGTAGCCCTGCCAGCCAACCCAACCAATGCTGGCATATTTTTTCATTTAACTTCCTCAGCAGCACAAGCAATCTCTCCTTGTGCAGCTTATCTCCCCCTTTTATTTTTTTTAACATTTCCACACTCTGCATTATCATTCCAATGACCACACCTGATGTATTTTACCCTCAGTTACCATGAATGCTTTCCCCCACTTCTTAAAGCCAGAATGAAAATGCACAGAAAAATCTGTTCTGCACATAATGCCATATAACCTCTGCACACTAAGGAAAAGGAAGGTTGGGATGAAATTCACAGAGTAATGCATGGTTTCTCCAGTCTTCCTAGCTGACTGAGAAGCCACTTAGACCCAGACCCATCAAAGTATTACACTCTTTAATTCCTGCTGGAATCTATTGGTGTTGAACTTCAAAATATGAATTATGTCATTAATTGCACTAGTCTATGTGGTTAGTCTTGGGCCTTGCTTTTCCATCTCCAAAATGAAAATTATTGCTTCCATACCTCTTAAATCAGAATCTGCTCTATTTATCCCATATAAGGCAGACTGCTGACAGCAGCATTTTTGTGACCTCAGCTAACAGACATTTAGCTTCTCATGGATTATTCAGTAAGCCAAGCTTTTATGTTAGCAAGAAGAGACATACAAAAACAAACAACTCTTCCCTGCAAGCAAGTTAACTTTCCATTTTCTCTTTTAACACTTCCAGCATCAGGCTACATACAATTAGCACTCAGGACATTTCTATTGCTTAATTCATAAGCAACCAGGGCTGTTTAGCCTGGGGAAAAGGAGGCTGAGGGGAGACCTTATTGCTCTCTTCCCACATCTGAAAGGTGCTTACAGCCAGACTGGAGTTGGTCTCTTCTGAGTGGTGACAGGATGAAGGGAAATGGCCTCAAGTTGCACCAGGATAAGTTTAGGTTGGATATCAGGAAACACTTCTTTACAGCAAGGGTTGTTAAGCACTGGAATAGGCTCCCCAGGGAGGTGGTTGAGTCACAGTCCCTGAATGTGTTTAAAAACTGTTTGGATGTGGTGCTCAGGGACATGATTTAGTGAAAGGCTGTTAGAGTTATAGTTAGGTTGTGGTTGGACTTGATAATCTTGAAGGTCTTTTCCAACCTGAGCTATTCTACGATTCTGTATGTCTAGGTAAAATGAATTTGGAGGGAAGAACTTTAATTTAAAGCCCAGTAAGTGTATTAGATTTGAGAAACTGAACAGCACAAATATGCTCATCCCTGAGCAGCAAATTATTTTTAGCATATCTATTAGGAATCAATTTCTTTCATAAGATCAGTTGGAAGAAAAGATCAAATGCACTAGTACATGAAATCCTAGACTGGAGACAACGTCCACTGGGTAACAACTAACAATACTGCATCCAGCTATAACAAAACAAGACAAAAGTACCGAAGAAGCAGTAAATTCAATATACGCATGCTTAGATTTCAAAGCTGCTATTCTGAGCTAATATAGCAGAATGACAAAGTTATTTGCTATTTAGTGTATGAACAACACAGTCATCTCACAGCCTTTTCCAAGCAAAGCACACTTACTGACACATCTTCAAAAAAAAGCTACTTATGACAAACTCATAGCAACTTTTCCCCTTAAGCATTCTCACCACTCTTGCTTATGTTCTGTAATCTTCAAGTACTATCCAAATATGAGCAGATAGTTCTAACCATGCCACAACAGTAAACCTAACCCTGCTTTGCTGTCTCCACCAAAGCCTCTGGTAATCAGCTAGCTCTGCAGACAAGTCTGAGGGTTGCTAGCTGAGGATCAAGATCCAAGCATGACAATGATATATTTTACATACAGGAATCCCCTGTTACAGATATTTTAGATTTTCCTTTCCTACCAAAAGAGTAAGGAACCTTTCAGGGTCCCAAAACACGTCAGTGACAGATAATTAAAATAAAAGTTGCCATTACTGATTAAGCAATGAAAGACAAAATACAAGATTCTTAAAGACCTTAAGCCCGTTCTAATAAAATAATAACATCAACCCTATCTGGTACTGTATCCATTGAAACCATGCTGGATTTGATTTTTGCTTTTTATTTAATAATACAAACTCTTCAATTCACTAAAACTTTATTGAACTGGGTTGCAGTTAATTCTTTTTGCACTTATTCTGTATGAATAACTCTTTTTCATTAGCTTTCTGTAGAAACAGGATTTGGAGTAAGGCGCCCATGGCTTGTTTTTGCAAAACAAACATCCCCCTAACAAACCGCCAAACAAAACCAACCCTCCCCCCTGCAAACTCTAGGTCTTACCTTTTCCTTATCATCATTCACAGTTCCATTCTTTCAACCTCACAGTCATCTGCAACACTTCCCTTAACCTTTTGTCCATTTAAATCACAAGCATTCATTCCTTTCTTTTTTAATTTGTTCTCTTTCAAATCTAGGCCATGCTTGACTGATTTTTTCATAAAATATAACCCTTTTTCTGCTCCTTCCAAATCTCAGTATTTTCCCTACAAGTATAGCAGAAATGCTTTTGCAGTTCTCTCTCTCTCCTTTCACATTTCTTTGAGCTTCTGCCTTGACATAAAAGTTCAGGCTTCTTATCTTCACCTTTAAATAAATGACAGACTTGCTAACAGACCAGATACCATTTTATTACATTTTCTTCCTTTCTCCAAACATTTTTCTGAATCTTCATCCACATCTGTTCCTGTCTGTCACTTCTCATTCTTGGTTTTACATTGTTTAATACCACCCTCATATCTGGAAAAACTGTATTTTTACTGTCAGCAAAACAATTTCTTCTGTGAGTCTCTCTGTAATCACTTCTGCGTTGGTTTCCTTGCCAGATGTATTCCCTTACAATCTACAAACTGTTAACTTCAAATACATCAAAATATTTGTCTGATTTAACGTGACCAGGAGAGAGACCTGGGCCACATTTAACCCTTGGGAAATTCAACTAGGCTGGTGAATGCTATGTACAAACCTGGACTCTTATCTTCAGAATCTGTAAATTCCCATGTACATTCGTGAGTCAAATCAATCCTTCAGCAACTTTCCATTACCTTGTTTCATTTGCTTGTCCTAAAGGGACACGATATGCTCAACTAAATGATATGGCAGCTGTTATCTGGGGCTTTATTCTGATTCCCATGACTTATATTTGAAATATGTTTTTGACAGGATTCCCATTGGGGTGTTAAAGATATTAATCAATAATGGCAGCAATTCAGACCCCAGTGTTCTTACCACATTTATCCTATCATCTCATCAAATTTTAATCAGACTTTAATGGCTTTGCTAAATAAACTTTTATTATCAGCTGAATATAAATGCAGTATCTGTATGGTTCTCATTTATGCAGGTCTATGAAAAATGTTTTCTGCTGTTGCAGTTTGCCTTCAAAAATCTTACGCGTGAGAAATATTCTCATTATAATACAGAACCTTCAATAGCACTGATGTATAATGAGGCAGTAAAGGCAGTTGGCTATTTCAGGGAAAGAAGGAAGGTATTTTAAGTTTCTATCATTGTTTTCCACTTCATAGTTTCCAACTCTAGTCTGCATGATTTCAGTTCTTTCCTACAAGACCACAGATTTTTCCTTTTCAGAAGGTTTTTTCTGTTTTAATACCGAGTAACTTTTTGGCAGAGTGGTGAGTCAAGCTTCCTGTACTGTTTATGGACTATTGTTCCTGGAGAAGATAAATCTACACCAAAATTCACTTCTAGACTCAAAGTAAGATCTCAACACTTTTATGATCTTACATTCTGACAAGTGCAGATTATTTTAGATCTTGTTGTTGAAGGAGAAAGGCACTGAGAATTGCGTTTCTAGATCTAACTTGGATTATCTTTGCCACTGATGGCTGCTATGGGTCACTATATGAAAAATGTGGTTTTTGCTATCACTATTTGACAGCGCAAAGTAAATCATGGCTTTTTATTGGGATAAATTTTCCTATGTTCAGTTTGAAACTTGGTACTAACAGGAAGTGTAATTCATGCTTTGTACTATCTTGTGGATTGCAAACAAATCAGAACTGAATTAGATCAACAATCAATTTCATCCTGAATGAATAGCTACTAGGATTCCGTACAAATAATAACAACTCATTTCATTATGCATATAAGACTGAATATACATGACTGAAATTAATTTAGTTTATTTTAAATGCTACTGAATGATCCTACACCACAAGAATTGAAATACCTCAGAGAGTACTAAAAATATAAAATCATAAAATGGATTAGGTAGGAAGGAACCTTAAAAGCCTACCCTACTCGAATCCCCTGCCATGGGCAGGGCTGCAACCCACCTGAGCTGAGAAGCTCAGGCTTCTCAGGGCCCATCCAACCCAAACTTGAACGCCTCCAGGGATGAGGCATCCATAGCTCCTCTGGGCAGCCTGTGCCAGTGTTTCACTGTCCTCTGAGTAAGGAATTTCCTCCTAACATCTAATGTAAATCTCCTCTCTTTTAGCTTAAAGCCATTCCCCCTTGTCTTACCATTTTCAGACCATGTAAAAAGTCAGCCCCCCTTCTACTCATAAGCTCCTCTCAGGTACTAGAAGGCTGCAATGAAATTTCCCTGGAGCTTTCTCTTCTCCAAGCTAAATAAGCCCAACTTCCTCAAACTTTCTTTGCAGGAGAGGTGCTCCAGCCCTCTGATCACCTTTGTGGCCTCCTCTGGACCTACTCCAACAGATCAGCATCCTTCCAGTACTGGGTCACCCAGGCTTGGACACAGTACTCCAGATGGGGCCATACGAGGGCAGAATAGAGGGGACAATTCTCTCTCTTTCCCTGCTGACCACTCCTCTACTGTTGCAGCCCAGGATACAGCTGGCCTTCTGGGCTGCAAAAGCACACTGCTCGTTCACATCCAGCTTTTCAATCCTTCAGGACACCCAAGTCCTT